TATTTTAATTCTTATGGACTTGTTTCAATTTTCTTCAGCTTCAACCTGAACTTGCATAAGAGCAATTGATGGTCTGTTCCACACTTGGCCCTGGTCTTATTTTAGTTGATGATATTGAGCTTCTCCGTTGTCTCTTTCCACTGATGCCACCCACTGTCATCATAGTGACCCTACCTAGTATTTTTGAGACTGAAAATCTTTACGGGAAAAGATAGCATCATTTTCTTTCAGGAAGCAGCGGGCAATTTTGAACCACAGACCTTGCAGTTAGTAGTCAATTGCTTAGCCAATTTGATTCTTGTATATTCCTTACGTTTTTAAAAAAATTATTCCTGTGTATTCAATCAGGTGAGGTCCAGGTGGATAGTTCCCATTTATGCTCTTGAAAATAGGTATTTGCAATGAAAAGTCATTGGTCTTGCAAAATTCTATTATGCGATCCCTAGCTTCGTTTCTTTCACCAAGGCTACATTTTCCAACTACTGTTCCTTCCTCTTTGTTTAACCACATAATTAACTGATTTTTCCAGCTTCATTTATTTATTATTTGTAGATAACATTTTCCTATTATTTTTAATGCCAGTGTTATCATATGTCATATTTATATATGTAAGTGGGTTTATTTCTGGACTCTACTCTATTTCTTCTGTATTTTCAGCTAAGTTCTGATTGGTAGTAGATGCAGGTTCTCATAACTCATCCTTCAGAATTGCCTTGGCTATCCTTGACTGTATTCTATTATGCGGATTTTTTTAATGGACACAAAATACATTTATCATATGAAATTTTACAATTGGTTTCTCTAATTCTATGCAAAACCTTGTTGAACATTTTTTTCGGAATTTCACTAAGTTTATAGATAAATTTGGAAAGAACTGCCATCTTTATCATTTCTTCCTCTCCAAAAATAAAGAATACCTGTTATTTAGGTCTTCTTTAATGTGTTTCAAGACAGATCATGATTTTTTTTCCTATTCTTGTATTGCTTATCTTTTGCTCAAGCTCTCCTTAGATATTTTGTAGTTTTTATTGCTATTCTTCTTTTCACCTAATTTTTATTTGTTGTTGCTATTGTTGAAAATATGCACAGCAGCACACACACCAATTCGGTAGTTTCTATACGTACAGTTTAATGACCTTGATTACATCTTCAAGTCGTACATCTAGCTTCACCCTCCATGGTTGGTCCTCCTTTATCAACAGAAACTTGCTGCCCCCAATGTTCTTATTTAATTTTTTCCAGTTGTTGTCAACTTAATCTCACATCGATCTTAAAAGACCATTATGCTAAAGGCAGATCTTTTTTACTAGCTAAACTATACTATTATTTGCCTTTAAGAAGATTTCAAGGGCTACTTTTGACTTAAGGTTTAAAACTTATCTCAGGCAATCGTTGCAAGGGTTCATCTATCCTCCATGGCTCCAGGAAGTCTGGAGCCCATGATAATTTGAAATTCTGTTCTATATTTCCCCCGTGTTGATCAGGATTCTTCTAGATAATCTTTGATCATGTTCTATCCGGTTCTTCTAGATAATCTCAGATCAGCTCCACCCGGTTCTTCTGGTTTTACAGCATAGGAGGATGTTTATATGGAGGCGATTAGCCACGCATTCCATATTCTCCTCCTATTCCTGTTTCTCTTTCTTCCTCGGTTGCTCCTAGTGAATAAGGACCTTTTAAATTTTTTGTTTCTATTATTAATAAAATCTTCCTGAAATCGCATTTTCTAATTAGTTAATTAGTTATTCCTTACAACAAGGAATATTTTGAATTTTTGTAAACTGATCTTGTATCCAGAAACCTGATTAATTCTAGTAGTGTGGCTACATGGGTCATTTCAATAGATCTTGTGATGTTATTGCAAGGATACGTGACTAAATCCAATTTTCCAGGACTTTAGGATTTTTAAGAGATGCCTATGTGCAAAACCTGTCATTTGAGAACCTTAAGGACTGTGCCGAGCGACTTCATTTTTCAGAGGGTCAAAAGGCTTGTGCAGAACAAGCCAGTTTTGGTCTTGAGACCTACCTTTATCTGCCATATTACATGCTTTTTCTTCACTCGCTTAGTGCTGATTAAGGATTACACCACAGTCCCTTTGCTGCACGCCAGATTCTTTTTAGACTGGGCTCAAACCACCGCCCAGCTTTTTGTAACTCTCCAAGGTGCTTATGGTAGCACTTTTGCGAAGTGCTCCTTGCTAGAAAAACGTTGGTGTGGGCTGATGAATTGAACAGCTTTTGTTTACTGACCCATTGCAGTTTCATTTTTTGCGTAGTCTTTTCGGACGCTAAAGCTGAGTTTTTGTGCTGTGGTAGCACATCCCTTTGATTCCAGTTTTTAAATATTATTAAGAATATGCAGCTCTCCTTGTTCATACGTCTTTTAAAAACACAACCATTTATTGTTTCTCTTTTTTTTTTATCAGATTGACTCCTCTTTTATGGTAATAAAACCGCATTGCTCATACAGTTTATTAAAGCTATGTCAAATCATTTTGCATGTAGGTGGAATTTAAATTCCGAATAAAATGGGAGATGCTCAATGATTGTTGACTGGAAGGGAATATGAGGGCTTTCGAGTGGGTGGAGATTCCCTGGTAGCGTTAGTTTATTAACTTACCTGCTCTAATGCCTATGCCTTAAATATGGCCTTTTATCCTCAGTAACACTGTTTTGAGTTCAGAGGGGGGCAGACACCCAAACTTAACTTTCAATTTCTGAGAGTAAAAGAGCATTCCATAATCTTATAGAATAATGGTGCTTTGATAGGGCAAGTGCACATATTTTCATCGAATATCATGTTTTATTAAGAACTAAATTGAGCTGCTTATTCAGCGGTTGTAGATTTTTTCTTTTGCTTCTGAGCTGAACCGAACTAAATCCGGTTTTTTAACAAAATCACGCCTGGAGCCTGGGTTCTATGGATTTCTGCATTCTAGGAACCTGCCTTCCTTCCAGGGCATCGCCCAGAAGGAGTTCCGGTCTGCACGGAGCGCTTTGTTCCCTTACTCGGCCCTTGCGTGGTATCCAGCAGAGACGAGCTGAAAGCCCACTAACTCGTGCTCTTCTGTTACTCATTCCGCCCCCCGGGTGGCGTGTGGGAGGTGTGAGGAGTTCGATAGGAATAGGCCCGGAAGCTCCTGCGGAACCCGACTCATCCCTCTGCGTCTCCGTTCCGACCGCGCCGCGTTCGTCGAACGAGGGAGATGTTTTTCCAACAATGACTGCACACTCGGCCGCCTCCCAGGTTAAATCTCAGCGCCGGCTGACGTCCGGGACTCTACGGAGCCCCTCCCGCCCCACACGGCCAACCTTTTGTCACCCTACCAGGCGGGTTATCGGGTTGGCTGGGCGCGGCCGCAGCCGACGAACGCCCTACGGGGGTCACCCAGGAGGGAACTCCTCCGGGCGCCGGCTTCGCCCACCACGCACCCCCGCGCCGGCTGCTCGGCCACCAGGGGGTGCTCGGGTGTCTCCGCAGCTCCTCGCAGCAACGCCGCTGCCTGGCTCCGCTGCGATTGGTCGGCCGCCGGGCGTTTTGCGCTCCGATTGGTCCATGCCTTTGTCAGTCGCGAGCGCCGGGGCGGGCCTAGGTGACGTGCGGCCTCCGGGGCTCGGGGCGGTGTCCGGCGCCGGGGGCTGCTGCGGGCGGAGTTTCGCGAGGACAGTCGCGGGGCCAGCAGACGGTGGCGGTCCTGGGAGGCGCCAGCGCGCGCCCGAACGCTGTCCGCCAGGCCTGTGTCCGCGCCTGGCCTCCCTCGCTCCCGCCTTCCACCCGTCGCCATCCCTCAATGCGGGGCTGGGTCGTTGCGTGATGGGGCTGCGGAGTGGCGTCCTGCGGCTGGTGGCGGCCGCTGTTCGCGCTGAGGTGCGTCGGTGCGGGGTCCCGCGCGCTCCCGCGCGCCGCGGTATCTGCTGACCCATTCTTCCCCCGCCGGTCGGCCCGCAGCGCGACTGAGGTAAGT